CTCAATTTAAAAAAAGGTGCTCCAAAGGGCATTCTGGGCAGGTAGATGGTCCTAACACAGACCACAAAGGGCCAAGGCCTGCTACCTTAGTGCAGCCAAAATGTGGGGCTGTCAAGCCTCCTTAAATGAGGGAGCAAGAGCTTGAATGAGTCAGTGGTTTCTTGTGTTCTCTTTCTGGCCCGGTTCCCTCTGGAAGGACTCAGAAACGCTCCATGTGGCCAGCATCTGCCCGTCATGATGCTGAAGTTGGCTCCAGTGAACTTAGAGATGAAACCTACTGTGTCCTGGGTCCTGAGACATCAAGGCAGGCCACGGTCCCTGCTTGGATGAGCCGGGTTTTAAAATTTTGATGCTTAATGTCTTCTCTCCTTTCTCCTTGCTTTTACTTTTTAATTATTGTTATTGAAAAATAATACAAACACATTAAAAAATTGTAAATAAAAATAATCACCTGCAACCTACTCCCTTAACACGATCTTCTCATATTTCACATATTTTATTCCAGTTTTTGTCATTTGAACACATTTTTGTACATAATTATATTCATAGCACACATGCTATTCTTTATACCAGTTTTCAAACTTGACTTTAATTTCCAGGTTGTTTGGCAGTCTTTGTAACCATAGTTTTTTTTTGTTTTGTTTTGTTTTTTTTTTTGAGGAAGATTAGCCCTGAGCTAACATTTGCCACCAATCCTCTTCTTTTTGCTGAGGAAGACTGGCCCTGAGCTAACATCTTCTTCTACTTTATATGTGGGACGCCTACCACAGCATGGCTTGCCAAGTGGCGCCATGTCCGCACCCAAGATCTGAACCGGCAAACCCCAGGCCGCTGAAGTGGAAGGTGCGCACTTAACCACTGTGCCACCGGGCAGGCCCCTATAACCATAGTTTTTACTAAAAAGATAACCTAATAGTAAAGAGACTTTTAGAAATGCTTTTAAAATTACCAGCCCTCTTAACATTCTATCCCAGTCTTGTCTCACCAGGCTCAACAATTTAGGATCTGTTATTATATTTGAAGCCAAGCAGTTCAAATCCTGCTGACAAGCAGTATTTGTCCTCACTCTTGATTTTTTTGCATCAACTGATTTGGAAGTTATATTTCTCATCTTTATTTTATGTGTGATTGCCTTTAAAATTTAAAGACATTTGAACTTACATTTTTTGGCCAGATGTCATCAATGAAACAATCTATTGACTTCTGTTTTGTAACGTAATTTAAGCACAGTTTTTCTTCCTTTCTCTTCTCTTGCCTTCCAGTTTCTATTTAAATTTGAATATTTAGGTCTTATTGTTTGTAGTGAAAATTCTAATTTTTTTAATAACTATTTTTACATCAGTAATGTTTTACAATAATATAAACAAGAATTATTTAGACTTAGTTCAAAGTTTTAATCATTTCATTGCTCATCGCTATTTTTTTTATTTTTTAAAACAACTTTATTTTGATGTATTTTTGTTATCATAAAATGTACCCATTTATGGGGCCGGCCCTGTGGCCGAGTGGTTAAGTTTGCATGCTCCGCCTTCGGCAGCCCAGAGTTTCAACAGTTCGGATCCTGGGCACAGACATGGCACTGCTCATCAGGCCACGTTGAGGTAGTGTCCCACATGCTACAACTAGAAGGATCAACAACTGAAATAAACGACTATGTACTGGGGGGATTGGGGGAGAAAAAGCAGGGAAAAAAAAAAAAAAGAAGATTGGCAACAGTTGTTAACTCAGGTGCCAATCTTTAAAAAATAAATACATAACTAAAAATAAAATAAAATGTACCCATTTCAAGTATACAATTCAATGATTTCCAGTAACTTTACCAAGTGGTACAACCGTCACCACAAATCAGTTTTAAAACATTTTAGCCCTTCAGTTAAAATCCTCAAGCCCACTTACAGTTAATGCCTGTTCCTACCCCCAGGCCCAGGCAACACCTTACCTAAGGAAACCACTATTTCTTTTATACAGCTCTTTCTTTTTCTTTTCTTTTTTTTTTTAAATTGTGGTAAATAACATAAAATTTACATAACATAAAATTTACCATCTTAACCACTTTTAAATATACAGTTCAGTGACATTAAGTCCATTCATGTTGTTGTGCAACCATCACTACCATCCGTCTCCAGAACTCTTCACCTTGCAAAACTGGAACTCTGTACCCAGTGAGCATTGACTCCCCATCCTCCCCCTTCCAAGCCCCAGCAACCGCCCCTCTACTTGCTCTCTCTATTAACGTGACTACGCTAAGTACCTCATATAAGTGGAATCATACAGTATTTGCCCTTTAGTGACTGGCTTATTTCACTGAGCAGAATGTCCTCAGGGTTTATCATGTTGCGTCAGAATTTCCTTCCTTTTTAAGACTGAATTAATATTCATTGTATGTGTATATCACATTTTGTTTATCCATATACAACTCTCTGTTAAGCTCTCTTTTTACAAAAGAAATTTATCTGCTGAACCAACAGCAGACAAATACATCACCTAAAATTTTAATATTACTTAACATTATTTTAATAATTGCTCTGTGTGCTGAAAATAACACGACGTTATTTTTTCAAGTGAGGCATTTGGTCCATCTTGAGCTGGATATTTCATGCCTTTGGTAGGCAGAATTCTACAAACAGATTCCCTCCACTCCAGATTCTCATCCCCTAGTTGGTCGATCAAACACTGACCTAGGTACTGCTGTGAAGGGATTTTGCAATTATAATGAAAATTCCCCATCCATAGATGGGCAGGCCTGATCTAATCACATGAGTCCTTTACAAAGCAGCAGAAGAAGATGGAAGGAAAAGAGAGATTCACAGCATGAGAGAGACTCGACATTCCTGGTTTGAAGATGGTGGGGGCAGCATAAGGAACTGAGAGAGACCCAGGCAACAGCCAGTGAGGAACCGTCCCTGAATCCTACAACAGCAAGGAATTGAATTCTGCTGACGCCTGAAGGAGCTTAGAAGTGGATTCTGCCCCAGTAGAACCTTGAGAGAGGAATATAGCCCTGCCCACAACTTGATTTCAACCTTCTGAGACCCTGAGCAGATGGCCCAGCAGAGCCTGCCCCGATGTTTGATCTACAGAAGTGTCAGATCATAAAGAGGGGTTGTTTTAACTGCTAGGTTTATGGTAATTTTTGCACAGCAACAGGCAACTAATGCAATGCCTCTTCTAAACTGTCTTAGTCCTCGTACGTGGTTAGCAATAACTCTCGATGCTTCAAATTTCAAATCCTCCCTCAAAGGGTGAAAGTTGTTTACAATAAGATAAGTCCATTTAATTATGGACCTATTCGTGTGTTATCATTTACTTAAAGGATGTGCCACGAGTTCTGACAGCAACATGCATGTAAAAAGCCTTTTTGGATCAGGAACACCTACAAAGAATCACTACTGTACTCCTGAAACAGCTTGGTTGACAACTAGATATTCATTATAGACCATCATTTTTCAGTGGTAAACTATTGTATAGAAATAAAACATAACTAGGTACATCATTAGCTGTTTGGGACCATGGACACAGCTTTTAAATTTTCCCAGCGTCCCTTTTTCCTGAGGCTGGGAGCCCTCTATTTTCCTCCACACCTTGATTAGATGGGAGATAAGTGGTGGGTCTACCAGTCTGAAGCCTTTCCTAGAAACTCTTTTATACTGTTTCTGTATCTTTAGCCTTTTTTAAAGCAAAAACCTTTGGTTTTGGACAAATGATAGAAGTTCGTTTGAGGAAGGGCAGAATATATAACAGAAGCAAAAAGGGAAACGAGCTCCCTGCAGTCTCACCATATGTAGGTAAGGAGCCTCTCGTACATGTCACACCCCTTTATGTTTGTCTGTATATCTCTTTCTCGAAATGCACAGACTGGTTCTATATCCGTCTTGCTCTCTCTCTCTATCACTATAAATCTGTGTGTCCTTATATGTATAATCATGTCCCCGTCTTGCTTCATCACCCCGTCTCCACACATCTGCACCCGTTTCTGCGTCTGTCTGTGTGTCTGTGTGTTCTTGACTTGCTCTGCCCTGCGTTAGATCACGCATAGCCTGGTGATGCATGCTTCCTAAGTCGAGACATTCATTAATGACTGGGCTCAGATTTATTCCCCCTTCCAAGTTTTACTGTTATTTCTGGGGCATCTGAGGATGTGATCATCTGCCTTTGAGTACCTCCTGACAACCACTTTGTTGCCGGTCACCTGGAAACGGGGCGTTGTCAGCTTCTAGCAAATAAGGAAAAACAAACAAACAAAAAATCCCATACATCTTCTGAGAAGGTTATTTCTCTGCCTCTGCCACACTTGCTCCTGAACAACCAACAACAAACAAAACCTGCCAGGTTATTTGCACAGGATTAACAAAAACCCCTTTATGCAAATATTTGTTGAGTTTTCGCCCACTCAATAATTAAATACTGCTTTCCACTTACACCTGGATGAGTGGAACTACTGTAGTGGAAGAGTGCCACCTGTCACCTGCCACAGCCCTTAGCTCGCCTGCAACAGGAGTGTGGCAGAGTAGGTGAGCTGGGCTGTGCTTTCTCACCAGCGGGGTTCCTGGGTGATCAAGACAGCTTCCTCAGGGCTCTCTTCCTTGGACTTCCACCCTTCCCTGTCTCACTTCCCCTCTTCTTCCTGGAACCCCTCCAAACAAGCTACCCATACCCAGAGTCTACTTTTATAGGAACTCAGACTAAGACCAACCGGAAGTCAATGGGAGCACCTAGACTTTAAACAGGGGCCCAGATGTGTATGGGGTGGCAGCTGGGGATCCCAGAGGTGGGGGCAGGAGATTAGAAACAAAGCGGTCACTGGGGAGCTGATCATGCTTATGTCTGTGAGGGGTGATGAGAGCTGACCCAAGTCAGTGATGTTCCTTCTGATCCTAGAAACATTCAAGGTGGAAACCGCATGAACCACAGGTGTGAGTGACATCGGAAGGAGGTTCTTTGGGTATGCTTGGGCTTTTGACATTTTTGTTTTTAAAGAAATGCTTTTCTCTGCTTCCCAGTCTTGCGTTTTCCGAGATGCTCCGGAACTCTAGAAGGACAAAGAAGCATTTCACATCCTTCTTCAGGGAAAGCAGCACCCTCCAAGGAAGAGTGGCTCCACCCTGACTAGCCACAGAGTGGCCCAAGGCCAGTCCCAGCCAAGTTCATAAGGAGGCCTGCCAGTGTGGCAATGCTGAATCACCTGCTTGGTTTACTGGCAGTGACTGGCCTCACCATGACTGGGCAAGACTGTGAGCTTTCCCAGTCTGGGCCAGTGGATGTACGGGCAGAATAGAGCTGGGGGTGAGGGCAGAGGCCTGAGCAGAATGCCAAAGCTGGGAAATGTTGCGGGCTCCTCCCACTACGCGGCGGCCTCTCTCCACCCTTGATTAGGTCGGCTCCTGCTTCTCTGGTCCTCACAGGGATGGGGCTTTCCACCGCAGCCCAGGTCCCATCATAGTACTTCCTGTCTCCAATGCGACTCCAACCTGACCTGCAATTGTGGTATCCGGCATGGCAGGGGGTGATCTGCACCCCACACAAGCAATGAGTCACAGCCTGTGTGGTCCAGTCTGTGGGCTAGTCACTTCCTGTCGTTCCTGCTGGAGCCCTGCGCCAGAGCCCAGTCATTAGACAGGCCTTGACTTTAACCCAGTTATTCCAGAAGCACCCCCACTTGTGTCCAGGGGACCTGGGAAGCTGGTGGTGGTGAGAATCTTCTGCTCCGTCCTCCTCCAGGCCTGCTAGTCTTTCTTCTCTGCCTGCTAGTCTCTAAGAGATTGTCAGAGCTACTATGCTGCCCATAACAACAAGGCCAAAACAACAGACAACTAAGGGAGGAGGGTGACAGAAATCAAAGAAACAGAGAATTCTCTGTCCCAGTCCCCACAAAAGCACCGGCCCCACCGCTTCTGACAACTGGTCTGCCTCTCAGCCAGCATCTGAGCCTACGATGTTCCCCTTCCTGGCGACATAGTTCATGCCATTCATGGATTGTTCCTACTTATTAGGAAATTATTCCTTATAATGAGACCAAATCTGCTCTCCTATAATATTTTTCATCTTTTCATATGTTTATTGGATATTTGCATTTCATTCACAAAATATTGTACCTTCTTGTCTAATTTTCAAACTTATTGCTCTAAAGTTGTACCTACTATTTTTTATCTATTCAAATATCTATTCTTTTGTCTTCTTTCTTATTACAAACATTAGTTTTATTTTCTCCTTTTTCAACTTGATACCACTTTCCAAATGTTTATTTTATTGTTTTCCCTTCAATGAGTTAGCATTGGGTTTGATTGATCAAATTTATTTGTTTTTGTTTTATTTATTTCTGCTTTTATCTTTAGTAATTTCTGCTTATACTTCCTTTTGATTTATTTTGCTAATCACTTGCCAGCTTCCTGCTTGAAAACTTCGTTCACTTAATGTCAGTCTTTCTTGTTTTATTATCAATGCTCCTGTGGGTATGCGTTTTCCTGAGTATTGCTTTGATCACATCTCCCAGATCTTGACATGTAGCTCACTAATTATTTCTGAATCGTTTGTAATTTGTTTTTTTAAATTTCCTTTTGAAACCAAGAATCATTTAGAAAGCCATTATAAAAATTTTCAAGTTAACAATTTTGGCTAAATTTTTGTTAATTTTTTTATTCTATTTATTACATTAAGGTTAGAGAATACAGCCTGTATGACTTCTCACTTTTCCGTAATTCTAATCCACCTGACTCAGGTCTGTTCTCTGGTCCCTCTTAAATTTTTGTTCCTCTTTCATGGGATGCTCCAATAAATAATTGACAGCAGTTACTTAGTGGTCTCTATGGAGGGAGGGGAGTGTGCAGTCCTCCCCGGAGCCTTTTTCGTCTTCTGAGGGCTTCTTAAACTATTCAGATGGCTCACGTTTCTGCCCCCCATCCCATCACCATCACTGTGTGCTGAGACAGAAAAGGAAAATCTGCTCCAAGTTAGACATTCTCGGTAGGACGGGTGTGGCGTGCCCTCACTGTCTGGGGTTCATCTCTGGAGCTGTTTGAGTCTCTCCACGTCCCTCCTTGGTAAACCTACAAAGTCAACACGGTGCTCGCAGCCTGCAGGGAGCTGTACGTCTCTCTCTTTTGCCCTAGAGGCTGTACTTCTCTTATGTTTCAAAGGAAGCTTTGTCTTTATTATAGCCCAGACCATCAAGTAAAGCCCCCTGCCAGCGTTTCTCACACTGTGTTCCATGGAAAACCAGTCTCGTAGATATTAATAGGCGATGTATAGAAAGGGGTCTGTTTGGGGACTGCTGAATTAAACAAAGAGAACTGACCACCATGGGCATCTCAGAGCCTTTGTATTCTGTGTTAATTGACTTTGTAAGAGGAGAAGGAAGCATGGTTGTGTTTCCCAAACTAATCTGGAATGCACCCCTTCTGTGGGACACGAAGTCAGTGTTCCAGAACAGACACTGTATGCCATGCTGCCCAACGCCCTATTTTCAAATGTACTCCTATGAAGCCTTTTGTTTGTCTTGATCAAATTTTATTTAGCCCAGTGATTAGAGTCAGTTCTTAACGCTACCCTTTCAGTGGGTTTGTATCTTGATTTTACAATCTAGTGTTTCTGCCACCCCTCTGGGATTCTTACTGCCGACAGAGCAGATCAGCCTGACACCTGTATTCTCACGTAATGCACAGATAAGCGCTCAGAAAGGACAGGGCCTTGCAGTGTGCCCCTGGCATAGGGAGGACTCACATTTCATTCCATGGAAGGACTTCGATTGGTGGAGGCTGCCTAAACCAGCACCTGTGAGACTTCCTTGTGCAGGTGAGTCACCTGGGAATATTGCTAAAATGAAGAGTCTGATTCAACGAGCTTGGAGTGGGATCTGAGATTTTGCATTTCCAACGAGCTCCCTGGTGGTGCTGATGCTGCCGTTTTGAGTAGTAAGGTGTTAGAGCACTGTGTTGAGAAGGAATCTGAGCCTACATTTGTGCTCAGTGGGAAAGAGTGCCATGACTAACTAGTAACGTCTGCCATGGGCAGACGAGTGAGCTGTGAATACATGCCATCTTTGCCCTACGAGTCTCTCTCTGTTGAAAATGATGTATTATTCAAGACAGCAGAGAAAAAATAAGTTATTCATATGATAGCATGTTACACAAGCATGAAAATGGATGTCTATATATTCTAGATGGCATAAATTCTAAGATATATTGTTATATTTTTTAAAAAGGCCAGGTTGGAGAATAAACTATACACTACTCTCTCATTTGTGCAAAATAATTGATAATCATATACTCTGACAATATCAAGAGTTGATAAAGCTGTAGAAAATGGGAACATTCTTAGACTGCTGGTGAGAATGTGAACAGGTATAACCGCTTTGGAAAACTGTCTGCATTATTATTAAAATTGAAGACATTTATACTCTACAGCCCAGTAATTCTCCTTCTGGGTACACACATGAGAGAAACTCACACACCTGTTCACCAAGACCCCTGGACAAGAATATTCACAGCAGCATTTTAGGTAATAGCCCCAAATGGAAAACAACTCAAATGTCCCTCAAGAGGAAAATGGATACATTATTCTAAATTCCTAATGAAATACTACACGATAATAAAATTGACAAAACTACACCTATATGTGGATGAATATCACAAACAAAATCTTGACTGAAAGAAGAAAGAAACAAAAGAGGATACATGTATGATTCCATTCTGTAAATTTTAGAAATATGAAAAACTAAGGTTTATTTCTTAGGGATATATATGCAGGTGCTAAAGTTTTCTTTTTCTAAAATCAAACACAAGGAAATGACTATCATAAAAGTCAGAATCATGGGCACTTAAAAGGGTGAGATAGTTATGATCAGGGAAGGGCACACAGGGGATTTGGGCAGGAGCTTCTCATTTCTGTTCCTTCAGCTGGGTGTCAGTGAGTTTTTTTTATTTAACTCTACATGCAAGGTTTTTGTTTTTGCATTTATCTATGTGTTATATACAACACATACAAATATATGTGATTTTTGTAGAGAATTTTTTTGGAAGGAGACATAGGAAACTGGTAATCATGATTACCCTACAGAGGAGAACCGGGCTTTGGAGTATCCAGATGGCAGGCTTAGCTTTCATCTTATTTCTTTAGTTCAGTTGGAATGTTTTTACCAGCTCTTTCTATTAAAAATAGTTACTTAAAAACTAGTATCTCCCATTGCCCACCTCTCCCCCAGCTCCACAAATAAAAAAATAGCATCATTCTACTTATATGTAGAACCTTTGACAGACATTAATCAATTCACCAATATTTAATTGCCACATATCTGGGCATAATGGGGGATTCCACCCCCTGTCCCCTTGAAGGTGTGACCATGTGACTTGCTCTTGCTAATGAAATGTAAACAGAAGTGACATGTGTCACATCTGGAAAGCAGCAGTTAACAGTCAGTGCATGTTCTCCATCTTCCTTTCCCTCTTTGGTGGTGACCAATGGTGTCTCAGATGGTGGAGCCCCTGTTAACTTGGGTTCCTGAATTGCAGTGTACATGCAATGTTAGTGAAAAATAAACTTGTGTAGTTTTGAGCCACTTCGATTCAGGCGTTGTTTGTTATTGCAGCATTACCTAGCCTATACTGACTAAAACAGAGCCCTTGTTTTTCCAAGCACACTGTTTCATGAGAGCTGGAGCTCCAAGTTTATTTTCCCTTTGAGGACCATACTCACATACCCACCTTTTAACCTATTACCTCTGGGAAAAGATAAATAACCATGAGTAATGATGATGGGTCTTTAGGGGTCCAAAAGATGAAAGTCAGATTCCTGTGAAGTTTAAAGGAAAATCCAAAAGGACTGTTACACATATTCCCATAGGTGGACTCTTAGGTGATAGTATGCCTCCTTGTGGGGAGGAAGAGAGTGGAGATTAGGAGAGAGACAAAGGATGCTGAGAGACCTATTCAGTCAAGAAGGGATTTGTCTTGCCTAGTTCCTCTGCATCTCCTTCCCCATAACCCTGAAGACCCTCTCAGTCTGGCCCTGGAGAGAGGATATAGAACCTGGAGGAGGGTGTACCTGTCAGAGTGGAGTATCAGAAATAGATGAGAGGGGGAATTTTCCAACAGTGACTGGACCATGCATACTTCCTAGTAGACAGGACATGTGGGTCGAGGACTTACAAGACTTAAATAATTGATTAGGTAGATGTGAATGTAGGCCTTTTCACACATCCCTGTTAAATTTGATTTTACTTGTTCAGTCCATCATTCTAGCCCGTGGGAATTGCCCTAAGACCTGGTGTTACCATCTAGTGTACTAACTATTCCTTCAAGCTTTGAGCCATTTACAATTTGATAACATTTCTTCCATTTTTTCATTCCAAAGCACTGATAAACATGATGAATAGGGCAAGAGCAAAGACAAACCCTGCCATGAGGCACTTGTAAAGAATATGGAAGACTCCTTTAGAAACAGATGCATGCCATTTCTTGAGTATGTCCACAAAGGTATCTCAAATTTGGATAGCTTACAGCCATACAAAAGTGTTTGGATTTGGATCGTACCAGGAGATTACTGTGTAATGCTGTGGGCTTCTACCTTTGGGATATACAAGTATATTGAAATATATTTTTAAATAAGTGATAGTATTGTTGATTAAGCTATATCACTGCTGCTGATGAGTCGGAAATTCTCTCTTCCTTTTAGGCATGAATTCAATTTTTCCAGCCCTCAGGATTTTAGAAACAACCTTTGGAAGGCATCACATAAGGTCTATTAATTATTTGGTTAATTGTGTCCTTTTATTTGTTTTGTTGTGTGGTTATATAAAAAGATATATCTTACCTCTCAGTCTAGTTTTGGTCACCAGCCTTCAAGAGGGTCCTCATGATCATCACCTTGTAGTGTTCATGCCCTTGTGTAGTCCCCTCCCACCTTGAACCTAGGCTACACTGTGTGATCAGAAGTGATAGTGTGTGTCTTCCAAGGCCAGGTCACAACAGACATGACAGCTTCTGCAGTAGCCTCTTGAATTGCTTGCTCTGGGGGAAACCAGCCTCTATGCCATGAGGCCACTCAAGCAGCCTCATGGAGGAGTCCATACAGTGAGGAACCAACTTGCCACGCATGAGAATGAGCCTCAGCCAAGCCTCCAGACCACAGCAGCCCTGGCTGACAACTGACTGTGACCTCAAAAGAGACCCTGAGCCAGAAACACTCAGCCAAGCCACTCTCAAATTCCTGAATTGCAGAAACTGGGAGACGATAAATGCTTATCACTTAAACCACTAAATTTAGAGTAATTTGTTACACAGCCATAGTAACGAATGCACAAGTCCTTGAGCTCATAGCATTAATCAACATTTTGGTTTTTTTTTAAGATTGGCCCTGAGATAACATCTGTTGCCAATCTTTTTTTTTTCTTATCCTTCTTCCCCCTCAAAACTCCCCAGTACATAGTTGTATATTCTAGTTGTACGTCCTTCTAGTTGTGCTATGTGGTACGCTGTCTCAGCATGGCTTGATGAGCAGTGCTAGGTCCATGCCCAGGATCCGAACTGGCAAAACCCTGGGACGCCGAAGCTGAGAGCACAGACTTAACCACTTGGCCATGGGGCCGGCCCCTGAAGATATTTTCTTAAATCAGGAAAATCCCAGGACTTCCTACCACTTGCAGGGGGAAACCAGGCTCTTTGTGCCCCTGAAACCCATTCAGCTTAATTCATCAGAAGTTTAGTGAGCACCTGCTGTGTGTCGGTCCCACATGAGGTTCTCAGGGTTCAAGGACAGAACATACCGCTTTCCTCCAAGAGCCCGCATTTTAGCAGGAGAGGCAGTCTCACACGCAGTAGTAACAAGGCAGTGAAACAGAAGTTCCTGGTACGCTGCGGTAGTGGGGTGGGGGAACAGACAGGATGGGGGCACCACAGAGCTGGTGGGGCCTTGAGAAAAAAGCAAAACTTTTTCCAGGTGAAGTGAGAATGCAGGACTAGGAAAAAAGCATTCATTCTAGGTAGAGAGGGCAGGTAACATGAATTAACAGCCAGTCGGATGAGTCTGGGGACTGGAAAGGTGGGGTGGGGCCAGTGGGAAGGGCCTTGAAGGCCATGCTAAGGAATGTGGCCTGTCTTCTGCAGGCAGAGAGGGGTAAGTGATGGAGGGTGGTATTAGGAGCAAGCTTTGTGGGTTTTAAAAGGTTTTAAGTCAGACCAAAGTTAATCCTGATAATTTTTAAAAAGGCACTCTGAAGAAAATGTAGAGAAACTGAGGCAGAGAGCCTTGTGGTGAGCTATTGTTTAGGCAAGAGCTGATGATGTCCTGAGTTAGGATGGTGGTTGTAGGAGTGGAGATGAAGGGACAGATTCAAGGGCCATTTCAAAGATGGAGGAGTCAAAATATGGTGTCGGTTACTTCCATCTTCCATCCTTAGATTCTAGGGTTAGAGATGGAATAACCCTAAAGAAGGTCTAAGATAATACTGTCATAAATCAGGTTCCCTAGAAGCAGAGCCTGAGGCAGGGATTCAGATGCACATGACTTATTGGAGGAGAGCTTCCAGAAGAAGACGAGGGAGGGAAGCAGAATGATGTGGAGGAAGAAGCTGAGAAGGATGTGGTTTCACATGGAATGCGGCCTTAGTGTCATCCCAAAGAGAGCTCTGTAGCATGAATAGCACTACAGTGTTGGTTTCACCTTGAGGCAAGAGGGTCCGCCTTTTATACAACAGGGTCAGGTTACCTCCCACGTAAGGAGACTCTGGTTGGCCAAGAACAATTCTCTGGAGAAGGAGGCAGTTATAAGTCATCAGCAACCAATACTCACAGCAGCTGGGGGAGGGATCCACCCGGCAGGTGTTATGGGCTGAATTGTGTCACCCCCCCAGATTAAAATGTTGAAATCCTAACCCCTAGTACCTAAGAATGTGACAGTATTTGGAGATAGGGCCTTTAAAGAGGTGATTAAACTAAAACGAGGCCGTTAGAGTGGCCCTAATGCAATCTGACTGGTGTCCTTATAAGAAGAAGAGTTTAGGACGCAGAGACAGATACTAGGAGTACGCACACAGAGAGAAAAGGCCATGGAACAGCATAGAGAGAAGGCAGCCATCTACAATCCAGGCTGAGAGAAGAAACTCATCCTGCTGACACTTTGATCTCGGACCTCCAGCCCTCAGAACTGTGAGAAATACATTTCTGTTGTTTAAGCCCCCAGTCTCTGGTGTTTTGTTATGGCGGCCCCAGCAATCTAATGTAATAGGTAAACAGTCTCTGGATGACACCAGCAGCGTCTACTGCATCTTCATTTATGCTCTTCGTCAACACCATTTCTCTTTTCCTTCCCCACCTCCCTCCCCAAAACAGTTCACTTAAATCTGTCTTCTTCCTTCTCTTCATTAGAAGCAACAGCACCAATTATAGAAACCAGCTAATTTCCTAGATGGAATATCAGTGGCCTGCGCCAGACAGGTGCCAACCAGTTTTGACATTTCAATGGAAACAGTACAACCAGGCTAGACATTTATGGTCTTTCAGTTAAAATGAGCAATAAACCTCCAGGTAATTGCATGTGTTGCTATGTTTCAGCCCTTAATCTACCATCCATATCAGTTCTGATGACTAAGAGGAATTTGTGTGGTCCCACCTAGGCTACGAAGAGCTAAAGAACTGTTCCGGAGACCTCCATTGAAGAGCAGATCAGAAACGTAAGGAGACAGAGCTGGCTAAACTTTCTGAGATGAGATTTTAATTTGTGTGACCATCACTGAGGTTAATATTTATTGATGGCTAATTTTCCTTCCAATGCTGGATTTTTCTTGTTCAACAATAACTCTATCAATCTAGTTTCCATGTAACAAGGGCAATTCTTCAGCCTCCCAGTTTGCTGAAACAATGAGTTTGCAAGCAGTGGGCGCCAAGTCTGGTAAATTTATCCTTTAGGGCTTGGTAGGGTTGAGTAAGAACTTTGGCTTGTTCTCTAGGCAAGATCCAGAGCCATTGGAAGGTGTACTGTATTAGTTTACCATGGGGCCAAAAGAAGTGCCACAGACTGGTTGACTTAAACAACAGAAATTTCTTTCCCCACAGTTCTGTGGGCTGGAAGTCTATCAAGGTGTCGGCAGGTCTGGTTTCCTCTGAGGCCTCTCTCCTCGGTCGCCTTCTCCCTGTGTCTTCACATGGTCCTCCCTCTGTGTGTCTGTGTCCAAACTTCCTCCTCTTAGGAGCACACCAGTCATATTGGGTCAGGGCCCACCCTAATGACCTCATTTTAACTGAATTGCCTCTTTAAGGCCTCTATCCCCAAATACAGTCACATTCTGAGGCTCTGAGGGTTAGGACTTCAACATAGGAATTTTGAGGGGACACAATTCAGCCCATAACAGAGGGTTCTGAACAGGAGAGAGGCAGGACCTAATTTTTTGAGGGATCAGTCTGGCTGTCACGTGGAGAATGACTGTGGGAAAGCAAGGGCGGTAAGGGCGCCTGCCAGGAGCCTACTCCAGACTCCAGAGGAGAGACGATGATGTTGTGACTAGGGTGCCAGCAGTGGCGATGGTGAGAAGGGATCAGATTCGGAACGCAGTTTGGAGGTAAAG